GCTCCTTTTGAATGCGTATAAAGTTTAATGCAATGATGAATTTTGTGGCTTTAAGTAGCACTTTCATTGTAGTAATTAAGTAATTAGTTGCACCCATGACTGAAAAATTTTCCTCGTTCAAGATGCATATTTTTGTTAATTTAAATTTAAAACATTAATTCAAAATGCAATCTTCCCTCATGGTTAGCATTTACTTACTAATTAGTATGAACAGGAGAACGGCAATTTGTTCAAGAAAGGGCGCGGTGGTCAGCAGGTCCGCAATGGTCTGTTCAAATCAACGATGCGCTTGCAAAAGATCCTTCCATTTCTTTAGCGGCGACTTTGCCCCACCTTAAAGGTCTGGGAACTTCTCCCACAATTGTCGCCTCTACGGCTTGGTCGTATGAACAGGACGCGAGTGATCTTGCCGAAATTCGTTTTATTTGAAGGGGCAAAAGTGTGGATGAAAAATCATCTATGCAAAATAACGTTGAGTCCAATTTTCGCTCACTGAAGCATTCAGGTCTTGTAAGGTATTTTCATTCAATGAAATGTGTGCCACTAAATGACATGTAGGGTGGATATGAAGTTTTGAGTGTGAGCGGTCGAAGCGTGCTGCGATTCCTACTCCTCGTTTTAAAGAGAATAGAATGCAAAAAGTACATTTGCATGAATTTTTACAAGACGGTAATTTTTCACACATTTTACGCTGTATTTACCATTAGCTTATTCTGCTTACAAGCAAGGTCCGCACACCTGAATAAGTAAATTTGAGAATCTCTTTTTGTGAAAAGTCTGTTAAAGTAGTGCTTCAATTGGACGGAAATCTAATGTTTGGGTTGCAGTTTACAGCTGCACTGGTCGTGGTGACCTCACCTCTTCAGATTTAGTCGCCTCCACTTCCATTTCAGGTGTTGGTTCCGACCACTCAAATGTAACTCAGGTACCGCAGAGTAAAGACGTCAAATGACTTTGACCAATGTAATTTCTGATAATTATTTGTACCAATCCATTGCCTATATGGTACACGTTCGGCAAAATCATTACATCAAAAGTAGCAAAACCATTATGTACGAGATTGGAACAGTTCATTTCAAGTAAGTATGAAGACTTGGGATGGAATTCTCACGTTCTTCATAGGTCTCAAGTAAATGTAAAAATGATCAACCTATGTTCATACTAACCCCTAGTGGTTTCCTTAAATACTCCATTACACTTTATTTTATCTCTGTCCATTTTAGACCTCGCCAATGGCGCGCGGGACAAGCAAAACCGAAAATGCGAGTTACTGACCGCTGTCTAGTTGGAAAATTATCAGTTTGATTTGTGGGAAAATGTATACAACCTAAACTATCCCTCAAAAAAACCTCAACGGCCTGTCATTTTTAATTTTAGCGAATTTCCAAAGTTCCTGGTATACAAGTGGTGCTATTCATAACATAACGACATCACTTTCGCACAGTTTTAACGCAGGTTATTTTTGTGATCCGCTGTCAACTTGACCCAAACAATGATGCTCCTAAAATAGCTTAGTTCCAAAACAGTAAATATGCACTGCGAATATGAAGTTAACATATTAACTGGTCTTGAAAATAAGCAAATAGCTCGCTTTGCATTCACGCCTACAATCATATAGACCTGTTTTCTTTGGGCTGGAGAAACGAAGGCAATTCGTCCCACATAAAGTTCAGATGTTCGCCTGTGCAGTAGCAAAGCTGGAAAGTGAAGAGGTCAAAATCACAACCTAATATGATCCTAACATGCCAAAAGTGTACGTTCACGCCTCCTTAGTATGGGTGTCCTTATAACAAACTAGGCATTAGTGCCTAGTTGTAGTGGCAATCGACTAAACACATTGCCGGGTGATGTAAAAGTGGGCTGAAACGTCTAACTACAACGTGGAATCATCCAACCAAAACCAGAAAAGTAATGCATAAGAGGTCTGTGAAATATCATGTGGCGTCAAGAACGACGAGTCGCAGTAGACTTTAATTGCTGAACCCCTTTAGGTGATGCGTATCTCTACTGATTACATTGAAACACAACGGATTTTCTGTGTAGTTGATCCTGTTGTAAGTAATAATGCAGCGGGTAGAAATGGTAGAGAACAAACATTTTAATTATGCATAAACTGACCTAAATTTGGTAACCGTTCATTGACTGAGACCGACTTTTCTTTTCACCTTTTTCATCAAGGTATATTTTGAGCTGCCTGATGGTGTAATGCAAAGTGGCAGTTCATGCAGATGGCACGTGGCACAAGCAAAGTGGCTTAGAAACAGTGAAGCAGAGAATGGCGAACACACTCCCCATTCCAAGCAAAAGCACAACATCTAATGCCTCAAAGGGATTGCGCCTTAAGTTAAGAAAAGAAGAGCTGCCGCTTCATCGCATTCTTCATGTCCCACGAATCACATTTTTCCAGGTGATTACCACATTTCTTGAATCTGAAAATAAATATATGATGGCGGATTGCTGTCCTTTTATGGTTTGTCTTCTCGCTTTTACCATTTCAAAGTTTGATACTCATTGTTAACCTACCATGCCCTGCCGTGCGTTGCCTTCTTAACCAGTTTCTACTAGGCATGGAAGTTTTCCACAAAACTCCATCCGAATGGGCCACCAATGTGGAAAACGCAGACGTGATCGAAGGCCTTCTTATCTGACTGATCTCGTCTTATCGCCCTCTGCCTAGAACAATCCACCAAATTAGTACACGCCATGCTGGAATGGCAAATGGAGAAGTGCTTCATGATGTGGCAAACCAAAAGGTCATTGCATGTGGATTGGCTTGTCGTGACCTTGAAATGACATTGTCGTATGCAACCAAGTAATGGAAACTGCACCAGTCCTTTTATGTGTGGTTGAATTTCTTCCCAGTTCAATCGAGCCCAATAGCAGGAACACCGTGCGTTCTTAGTGTAATTTATTTTGCTTTTTAATGTTGGAAGGTCGACTGGTCTATTCCTCAAAGCTTACTATTTTTCATGGTATAGACAATCCATACGGATGCTCATATTTCCTAAAATTGACTCCTTACATTTCTCTCGCTTCTCCTCGATGCATGTGCATGAAAGTTTGTGTACTCGCACAAATCACGATCATATTTTCATGCAACTGTTCGTGAAATCGCGACTGCTTGTACTCTATTTCATGTGCCTAAAAAGTGGGATTGTAGGTTTTCTAAAAGGATACTTTGAAATTCCTGTAATCCTTGATGTTTGCCTAATCTGATGCATGAAAGATACCTCTAAGCCGATGTCCATACTAAGGATGCTGTTTTGTTGGAAACGATGTACAAAATTCACTAGGCGCACATGGCGTTGAAGCGTCGCCGACTCGGTGCCGGTAGAAGTTCATCGAGGATTAGGAGAATTACTCTGTTGCTATTTGCGCAATCCATGGATGATTTGGATTCATTGATTGTTGAATGTTGAGGAATTGTGTTGAGTGACCGGTAATTGTATACCCATGAGAATGAAGTTGCATGATCATATTTCCCAAGGCCGTAAACATTATCGTGTAGCCGATCTT